ACTTGGTCTTGAAGCTAGAGGAAGAATTGCATACTGTAACATCTTCATCGTCCAAATAATTACACATCCCGGCAGGTGCAGTATAAATTTTTGAAAACATTGTTGAAACAAGCATTATATGACTGCAGCCTCGTTAGAAATGGCCTTAAACTTTTGCAGTCTTTTGTCTTTTTTGTCACCCAGTTACATTTTCGAACTTCTGGTCAAAGTACGAAATCACTCGAGAAAGTGATTTCATTGTCCGTTGCAAGTGAGTTTATGAAGTGGTTTCCGAGCTTGTTTCAACATTTCATTTGTTAAATTGGATGTGCAAAGGATTTTAGGCGATTATTGGTTGGAGCAAGCTCTGCATGATTCAATATGCCAGTATTGCAGCAAAATATGTTGTTAAAACTGGGAAATGAAATGCATACATTATTTAAGCAAATCTTCTTCAATGTAGATCAAATTGGTGGTGCAATACAAAGACAGTTCGCGGACGCCTTGAAAAGTATGTTACAGTAGTCTTTGAATGATAGAAGAAGACTTAGTGGTAGAAATTTGGGGAAAGGGCCTCGTATGTTGATATTTTTTGACGTTTATTGCTGTAATAGCTTTCTTGTAACTCCCCTTATCTACATGTTTTCAAGCAGTCGTTAACCTGGTTTCCTTTGTGTCGTAATTGTTGTAAACAATCATTTTCGTAAACAATCATTTTCACGGATAAAATCTAGTCCAATCTTTCCACATTATAGCATCCCAGGTAGTTTTTCAGAACGGCGATGCATTAGGGTCGAGCGAAAAGAAAGATGTGCAACAAGCTGGCACATTTACGGTGCAATCATCTCAACCTGTGTGTATTAAAAGTAAACCTGCATGGCAGGTAGTTAATGAAAAATGAGACAATTCATGTATTGCTGTAGCTAAATTAAGTTTCTTGTTTTTTAGGTTCATGTTCAACAGCCAGCGAATGACGGTTGGAAGAGGAAGCAACTGGATGTTTGGTCAACCAGCAAAGCAGCTGGTGGCGTCAAAGGTGATCAATTACGTCCACCATAGCATTAAGCTACAAGATGATCTTTTGTATAGTCATTTTTTAATAACGGTGATTGATTTAGGAAACCTATAACGGCTCTTCATTACTTTTTGACGCTCTTAAGAAGTTCTACTGTATAATTCTACAACAAATCTGAGGAATTACAAACCGATTTCATATTCTAATTGGGAAACTCGTATTTTAGGCTATTCTCTGCTAGTTGGGCTATTCCCTATAGTTATGCTGATCGGATTCATATCTTTACAATTACGTGTGGCTCCAGGAAATCTGATCAGAACTTTTCATGCTACAGCGATATACCAGTGGAATTCAAAACCTACATGTCATCAAGAAACATCAGATGTTTGTTGGAATCCTCAAAAGTTCTAAACTCTTCGTACAAAAACAGGTAGAAATTTTTTTAATATATATTTTGAAAGGAGAGTCTCTAACCCCTCATCGTTTCTGGATTACTACTACTTTTAAGCGGTGTACATGCAATAATACCACTACACTATCAGTGGCAATTCTAAGGGCGTCCCCTTTTCCACAGGAACAACGTGAACTACTTGACAAAAATGGGGATTGCAATAGGTAAGTTAAAAAAATTAAATCGTAGGAAAATGTCTAGTTTCATGTTACCTTTTAATATAAAATTTGCCCAGGTTCGTCCAGATGAATTGTTCGTCTCTTGTATAAATACAGCTAATGTGATTTTTATACAGATTAATCTTACTGGACCTTTTGATGGTGCTTCCTTAGGTCGAAATTCTAAATCGGTTAGGGTTTTGTGTGTTGTTAAAACTGATATAGGAACGATATTTCATATCCTAGTCCGTTACGTTAATTCACAATGATTATCTTTTGTTTTGTAAGAGTTTTGATCTATGGAACCGACTTGAGACACAAAAAACTATTTTTGTTGAGCCACGACGAAAAAACGAATTTACAGAGGTTAGTTCTATTGCCATCCAGCAAAATCTTAAGACTAGACTTTTTAACAAATGAATATATAGTTAAACAGTTCATCTGTACGTTTTTACGAGGACGAAAAACGGATCATTTTGATCAGGAGGTTATGTTCAACTAAATAACTCGCAATGAACAAGCTGATTGAGGTTTGTCAAAGGATTTATGGTCTGTTTTAGGCAATGGAAGGATTTTATGAAAACGTTCGCAACCCATGCAGAGAACAAGCGTGCTGTTTCTTGTCGTTTGCCAAAGAAAGGTATGGTGTCTACTGTATTTTTTCGACGTATTAATACCAAAGTCTTTAAACACATACATTTAAGACGGCTTGTCAAGTTTAAAACCTTGTATAGTAATAAGCTTGTTGGCGAATCTGCTGAAAACCTGTCAGATTTGGTGGAAATAGGTAATAATTTCATGTCCAGTGTCCGCGAATATAATCCTTGATTCAAATCTTTTAGTATAAGCAATTAGGTCAGGGTTAGGGTGAGGTTTAGAATTAAAAGTTAGGAATAATTTCGTGCATCCTGGACATGAAACAAGTTATGGACATGAAACTATGATCGAAACATACAAGTCAAACACATCCTGATAACAGACCGTCAAAAAAATTGATACGAGCCTCGGATGTTTTACAAGAAACTCCTGTGTTTCTCACGTTTAGGTCAGAAAAACCGGGAAACGAAGATTTAACTGTTGAAATTGACATTTTCTATTGATTTTTGTTTGAGACCGAAAATATGTGTGCCAGGATCAGGTGACCAGCTGTGCATTCACCCCCAGGTTCTTGAACAAGAAACACACACGGCCAAGGCAAGTGTAAATGACTTCATTGACCGTTGGTAAATAGGCTTGTAGCTCAAATTCTACATACCATGTACCCATTTTCTTACACGGTCGATACACTGAATAATTTACTATCTACTGTATAGGTGCACAGGTTGTATAACCCCTCGCGATATTTTGCCCTTAAAATAAGGTAGTAATCCCCACAGTTCATAAAAGTTCTCTTGACTATTTTCAGAGGCATTTGTGCCATACAAAGGTGTTATCATGCAAAGACGTGTCATTATATAATTTGCTGCAACAAGGTACTACCACTAAGAGATGTTTATATTGGGCTATTCGGCCATTGCCATTGGCGTATACAGTATCGTCAGATATTGTTTGGTATTCACTATATTAAATATACACACTACATTTAGGCTCAACTCAACATATATATGCATGAGCGATATACTTATGCTGATCGGATTCATATATTTACAATTACGTGTAACTGCAGGAAGTTTAATCGGAACTTATTTCATCCTACAGCGATATACCAGTGGAACTTCAAAATGCACATGTCATCAAGAAACATCAGATGTTTGTTTGAATCCTCAAAACAGTACCCGACTCCGCAGTTTTAAATTCTTCGTACGAAAACAAGTAGAAATTTTGTAATATATTTTGAAAGGAGAGTCTCTAACCCCTCTTCTTTTCTGGATTACTACTATTTTTAAGCGGTGTACATGCTATAATACCACTACACTATCATTGGCAATTCTAAGGGCGTCCCCTTTTCCACAGGAACAACGTGAACTACTTGACAAGCCTGGGTATTGCAATGGGTAAGTTACAGAAAAATAAAATCGGAGAAAAATGTCTGGTTTCATATTACCTTTTAATATAAAATTTGCCCAGGCTCGTCCAGATGAATTGTTCGTCTCTTGTATAAATACAGCTAATGTGATTTTATACAGATTAATCTTACTGGACCTTTTGATGGTGCTTCCTTAGGTCGAAATTCTAAATCGGTTAGGGTTTTGTGTGTTGTTAAAACTGATATAGGAACGATATTTCATATCCTAGTCCGTTACGTTAATTCACAATGATTATCTTTTGTTTTGTAAGAGTTTTGGTCTATGGAACCGACTTGAGACACAAAAAACTATTTTTGTTGAGCCACGACGAAAAAACGAATTTACAGAGGTTAGTTCTATTGCCATCCAGCAAAATCTTAAGACTAGACTTTTTAACAAATGAATATATAGTTAAACAGTTCATCTGTACGTTTTTACGAGGACGAAAAACGGATCATTTTGATCAGGAGGTTATGTTCAACTAAATAACTCGCAATGAACAAGCTGATTGAGGTTTGTCAAAGGATTTATGGTCTGTTTTAGGCAATGGAAGGATTTTATGAAAACGTTCGCAACCCATGCAGAGAACAAGCGTGCTGTTTCTTGTCGTTTGCCAAAGAAAGGTATGGTGTCTACTGTATTTTTTCGACGTATTAATACCAAAGTCTTTAAACACATACATTTAAGACGGCTTGTCAAGTTTAAAACCTTGTATAGTAATAAGCTTGTTGGCGAATCTGCTGAAAACCTGTCAGATTTGGTGAAATAGGTAATAATTTCATGTCCAGTGTCCGCGAATATAATCCTTGATTCAAATCTTTTAGTATAAGCAATTAGGTCAGGGTTAGGGTGAGGTTTAGAATTAAAAGTTAAGAATAATTTCGTGCATCCTGGACATGAAACAAGTTATGGACATGAAACTATGATCGAAACATACAAGTCAAACACATCCTGATAACAGACCGTCAAAAAAATTGATACGAGCCTCGGATGTTTTACAAGAAACTCCTGTGTTTCTCACGTTTAGGTCAGAAAAACCGGGAACGAAGATTTAACTGTTGAAATTGACATTTTCTATTGATTTTTGTTTGAGACCGAAAATATGTGTGCCAGGATCAGGTGACCAGCTGTGCATTCACCCCCAGGTTCTTGAACAAGAAACACACACGGCCAAGGCAAGTGTAAATGACTTCATTGACCGTTGGTAAATAGGCTTGTAGCTCAAATTCTACATACCATGTACCCATTTTCTTACACGGTCGATACACTGAATTAATTTACTTCTACTGTATAGGTGCACAGGTTGTATAACCTCCCTCGCGATATTTTGCCTTAAAATAAGGTAGTAATCCCCACAGTTCATAAAAGTTCTCTTGATATTTTCAGAGGCATTTGTGCCATACAAAGGTGTTATCATGCAAAGACGTGTCATTAATATAATTTGCTGCAACAAGGTACTACCACTAAGAGATGTTTATATTGGGCTTTCGGCCATTGCCTTGGCGTATACAGTATCGTCAGATATTGTTTGGTATTCACTATATTAAATATACACACTACATTTAGGCTCAACTCACATATTATATGCATGAGCGATATATTATGCTGATCGGATTCATATATTTACAATTACGTGTAACTGCAGGAAGTTTAATCGGAACTTTTTCATCCTACAGCGATATACCAGTGGAACTTCAAAATGCACATGTCATCAAGAAACATCAGATGTTTGTTTGAATCCTCAAAACAGTACCCGACTCCGCAGTTTTAAATTCTTCGTACGAAAACAAGTAGAAATTTTGTAATATATTTTGAAAGGAGAGTCTCTAACCCCTCTTCTTTTCTGGATTACTACTATTTTTAAGCGGTGTACATGCTATAATACCACTACACTATCATTGGCATTCTAAGGGCGTCCCCTTTTCCACAGGAACAACGTGAACTACTTGACAAGCCTGGGTATTGCAATGGGTAAGTTACAGAAAAATAAAATCGGAGAAAAATGTCTGGTTTCATATTACCTTTTAATATAAAATTTGCCCAGGCTCGTCCAGATGAATTGTTCGTCTCTTGTATAAATACAGCTAATGTGATTTTTATACAGATTAATCTTACTGGACCTTTTGATGGTGCTTCCTTAGGTCGAAATTCTAAATCGGTTAGGGTTTTGTGTGTTGTTAAAACTGATATAGGAACGATATTTCATATCCTAGTCCGTTACGTTAATTCACAATGATTATCTTTTGTTTTGTAAGAGTTTTGGTCTATGGAACCGACTTGAGACACAAAAAACTATTTTTGTTGAGCCACGACGAAAAAACGAATTTACAGAGGTTAGTCTCATTGCCATCCAGCAAAATCTTAAGACTAGACTTTAACAAATGAATATATAGTTAAACAGTTCATCTGTACGTTTTTACGAGGACGAAAAACGGATCATTTTGATCAGGAGGTTATGTTCAACTAAATAACTCGCAATGAACAAGCTGATTGAGGTTTGTCAAAGGATTTATGGTCTGTTTTAGGCAATGGAAGGATTTTATGAAAAACGTTCGCAACCATGCAGAGAACAAGCGTGCTGTTCTTGTCGTTTGCCAAAGAAAGGTATGGTGTCTACTGTATTTTTTCGACGTATTAATACCAAAGTCTTTAAACACATACATTAAGACGGCTTGTCAAGTTTAAAACCTTGTATAGTAATAAGCTTGTTGGCGAATCTGCTGAAAAACCTGTCAGATTTGGTGGAAATAGGTAATAATTTCATGTCCAGTAATATAATCCTTGATTCAAATCTTTAGTATAAGCAATTAGGTCAGGGTTAGGGTGAGGTTTAGAATTAAAAGTTAAGAATAATTTCGTGCATCCTGGACAAGTTATGGACATGAAACTATGATCGAAACATACAAGTCAAACACATCCGATAACAGACCGTCAAAAAAATTGATACGAGCCTCGGATGTTTTACAAGAAACTCCTGTGTTTTCTCACGTTAGGCAGAAAAACGGGAAACGAAGATTTAACTGTTGAAATTGACATTTCTATTGATTTTTGTTTGAGACCGAAAATGTGTGCCAGGGATCAGGTGACCAGCTGTGCATTCACCCCCAGGTTCTTGAACAAGAAACACACACGGCCAAGGCAAGTGTAAATGACTTCATTGACCGTTGGTAAATAGGCTTGTAGCTCAAATTCTACATACCATGTACCCATTTTCTTACACGGTCGATACACTGAATAATTTACTATCTACTGTATAGGTGCACAGGTTGTATAACCTCCCTCGCGATATTTTGCCCTTAAAATAAGGTAGTAATCCCCACAGTTCATAAAAGTTCTCTTGACTATTTTCAGAGGCATTTGTGCCATACAAAGGTGTTATCATGCAAGACGTGTCATTAATATAATTTGCTGCAACAAGGTACTACCACTAAGAGATGTTTATATTGGGCTATTCGGCCATTGCCATTGGCGTATACAGTATCGTCAGATATTGTTTGGTATTCACTATATTAAATATACACACTACATTTAGGCTCAACTCAACATATATATGCATGAGCGATATACTTATGCTGATCGGATTCATATATTACAATTACGTGTAACTGCAGGAAGTTTAATCGGAACTTATTTCATCCTACAGCGATATACCAGTGGAACTTCAAAATGCACATGTCATCAAGAAACATCAGATGTTTGTTTGAATCCTCAAAAAGTACCCGACTCCGCAGTTTTAAATTCTTCGTACGAAAACAAGTAGAAATTTTGTAATATATTTTGAAAGGAGAGTCTCTAACCCCTCTTCTTTTCTGGATTACTACTATTTTTAAGCGGTGTACATGCTATAATACCACTACACTATCATTGGCAATTCTAAGGGCGTCCCCTTTTCCACAGGAACAACGTGAACTACTTGACAAGCCTGGGTATTGCAATGGGTAAGTTACAGAAAAATAAAATCGGAGAAAAATGTCTGGTTTCATATTATCTTTTATTATAAAATTTTAATATCTTGAAGTTAATTCTTAAAGAAAATTGTACTACGAGGATGGTTGCTTTCGGATTTTGCGGGAAAATTTAGATAGTTCGATCCTGCGATTTCATGAGTCAAATTTCACCAGTGTAATATAGTACAAATCAACATAGAAATTCGTATCGTCAATATCGTCAATTGAAGAAACAATAGGGTGAAATGTCAGTATTTTCAAACAGCTTTTGGAAATGAACAGGCAAAAAAACACGTGCTTTATATGTAACAAGACGCCTACTAGGCGTTATATGATCGCGTCGTTCACAGCGGCGTAGCCAGCCCAGCTATGCAAATTTTGTGTCGTAAATGTTCTTAATAATAAAAATGAACAATATACCGAACTATAGTCGCATGTTGAAAGCAGGAGAAACACAAAACAGCCCATTTCGAAACTGCTTGAAATCCTTTAGTGCAGGCTTACTCTGCTCGGCGTGTGCAGTTAGTTGTATGTGTAATGAGTGTAAAGATAACACTTGCTAGCATTTTGATCGCTTTATTGATTCTACTTTACTGCTTCAAGTTCGAAGGTGAAACGAAATATGCCCAAAGTGAATACAACACGTGATATAACTAGCAACTTACCTGTGCGCAGGTTCCCGATTAGGGTGATATGGCCCGCAGCTAGCGACGCTGGGGGTTGACCCGAGAGGAAAATAAAAAAAAAACCAAGCCGAAACTATAGATCGCTGTCGCTACGCGACGCGATCAATAATATAGTGCCTTTATCTATTTCACTTTCCAATCTGACACTGGGATAGTCCGGATGTTTTGCAAAATAAAAGCAGCCTTCTTTCTTCATGTACAGGTCCCTCTGTTCTCCAATGTACGTCACTTCCGGTGAAAAAGCCACGAAAAAAAGCCAACTTTGAGGCCAAAATGAACGAATGCGTCATCGAAGAAAGAATGCGTCAACAGCGCGCCATAATTAAGCGCTCGACCGCATCTGAAGCTTTACCTCCAAAGGTCGCAGAGAGTGTAACAAACGAAAACTGCTCACCGAGAAACATTCTGCGAAATGGTGCAACATTGCTAAAGAAGCAAGAGATCTTAGGTCTCGCCTACAGAAACAAACATATTACGCAGGTATATGAATTTACTATGCTATAATTGCAACTATTTCAGCATATATAAATACTGATCCAGATTGGTACTGATGGTTGAATAGCTGATATTGGTTGAGCAGGTAATGATACTGTTTAGCAGATAAGGTTTTTGAACAATCTGGTGGGAGGTTTCAGTGTGCAATTATGGGCAAAATCCAGGCAATTATATATGGCATATGTTCACCACTTGGCGTAGCCAAGATTTAACTTCACAGTTGTGAAGTTAAAATACTTTTTAAGGGTCATAAGTAGCTTTCTTGTTTTTCAAAGCTTTTTACGACAGTTGAAAAATTAGGTCACTATCCAGTGGATAACTTTATCCATGCACCTTTTGAACAACTGGCCACAAGGCTGTAAACAGGATTTTTGCCAGGGGGGCACTGTGTGTGTTGAGGAACAGGTGCCCCCCATATAAGGCTTATGTCATCACTGATATAGTGCAAAATTACATGATTTCTTCCAACAATATATATAATACAGGTGCTCTATAATAGTGCTATTAGTTTTTATAAAGCTTTTGTAGATTTCAATGAATGTAGGTGACAAATGAAGAAATCCTATATTAGATGTCAACCATATTATAGTCCAAAAGGGTTGCTGGGGCAAACAAACGTCATGATCTGCTGCCAGCATTGTTTTATCTTTTTATTTGCGCTGATGCAAACGCCGTTCAGCAGCCTTCAAGAGTTTTACTAAACAGATTATTGCAATGGACATTTCTATAGGCATATCGTCGATGCCATTCTCTAAATTTTAAAATTCACAATGACACATGTTGATAACCACATATTAACTCTAAGGGCCTAACTCTAAGGGCCTAACTTCACGGGCGCCTGTTCTCGGCGAAATGCGAAATATTTTGCCTGTTTCTTTTGAATTTCGACCGCTTGAAGCAGGAGAAATATTTCGCATTTAGCTTGAAAATTTAGCCCGTGGAATTAAGGCTTAAGACAAAAAATTTATGCATACAATTTCAAAAATTACTTACCCTTTCATGATATTAAGCGAACACAAATACATTTACACTACATTTTTAACATAAATTATTTCCCATTGCTGGAAGCCATCTTGTTCCAGTCGCGTATTCCAGTTAGAGTTGATAAACATAAAACAAATGATTCGCGCGGCTTTTGCTCTACAATGGAGATTACAAGAACATCATTTTCACACAATTGAAAATATGATTGTATATAAATCACAGAGGGTCTATACTGTATAGTACAGTATGTATTTTGTGATATCTATAACACAAAAATATACAGAAAAAAATACAGGTTGTTTTCTTTCATATACACATATACCTGGTAAGAAAGCTCCATTTTAATGAGATTTATCGAACTAGGATATGTGCGAATTTGTCATTTGTTTATAATATTCAACAGCAATTTCAAAGATTTACTTGCCTTTTAAATTCTGATTTTCCTGTTGGACGGGATAGTGAAGCGAAGAACATTTGATGAGAATATTCGAAGTGTATACAGCAAACAACAGCTGAACATCACGTGTTTTATGTAGAACGAAGTTTGGCTGTGAATAGCCAGTTATAAATCTTCAATCTCTTTACACCTAGGTTGAAAGAAAGCTCCATTTTAATATGATTTATCGGATTAGGATATCATGGCCGTAAAACGCCATATTGCCACTGGGTTTAAATTTACTATATTTGCGAATTTGTCAGTTTATCATATTCTACAACAGTTCCAAAGATTTACTTGCTTTTAATTCGGATTTTCCTTTGACGCGATAGTAAAGCGAAGAAATACGATCATACTGTCATACATTTATGAGAATATTCGAAGTGTATAGAGCAAACAACAGCTGAAATCATGTGTTTTATGTAGAACGAAGTTTGGCTTGAATAGCCATTTATAAATCTTCAATCCCGTTTACACCTAGGTTGAAAGAAAGCTCCATTTTAATAGATTTATCGAACTAGGATATCATGGCAGTAAAACGCCATATTGCCACTGGATTTAGATTTACTATATTTGCGAATTTGTCAGTTTATATTATTCTACAACAATTTCAAAGATTTACTTGCCTTTTAAATTCTGATTTTCCTGTTGGACGGGATAGTGAAGCGAAGAAATACGATCAAGTGTATAAGCAAACAACAGCTGAACATCACGTGTTTTATGTAGAACGAAGTTTGGCTGTGAATAGCCATTTATAAATCTTCAATCCCCTTTACATCTACGTTGAAAGAAAGCTCCATTTTAATAAGATTTATGGAACTAGGATATCATGGCCGTAAACGCCATATTGCCACTGGATTTAAATTTACTATATTTGCAAATTTGTCAGTTTATCATATTCTACAACAGTTCCAAAGATTTACTTGCCTTTTCAATTCCGATTTTCCTTTTGGACGGGATAGTTGACCCATTCAAGAGAGATGTAAGAGTATTATTTAATTTTGACTTATCCGCCGTTTAAGCTATAAATGGCCTTGATACAACCGGGGCCGGGACTATAAGTAAATGTGTGGAGCTGTATTATTATTATAAATCCAGACTGTCTTAGAGCGTTTTGAGATCGTTTAGATTGTTGTACGAGAGTTGTTTCATGAAATTGTTGTAAATTGAAAATAGAAGTAAAACCAGCGTGTGCAGGTTAATTTACTGAAGGAAGCTTGCCAAGAATTTAGTGAAAATATTTGACAAACTTTAAGCAGTTTTCATTATTGGCTGAATACCAACTGTATATTTACGGTCTACACAAAGGTCTCGGAGATGTCAATTTCAAAACAAAAAGTCAATTTCGTTTAAACTATGTACTTACAGCACGGTTTTTACCCTGGGTGACACATTGGACGAGACGAGGCAGCTCGTCGTGAAGAGAAGCGTGGCGTCATAGAATTTCACGTCGTTGGGAACTGGCTGCGAGGACAGCTCTCTCAAAAGAATATTATGTGGTTGATTGGCTTAACAAAAAGTATTTTCATATCAACTAACGCAATGCCGAAAGAATATATCACGAGATTGGTTTTGATCAGTAAGTGAACCAGTAAATTTTAGCTGCAAACTATTGGCACGGTCAAAATGGATGCGCTGTGCTTTAAATTGCTGTGCATCAAATTGGACGCAGGCACCAATTTTAGCTGTCCCGTGCTAATAAATTGACTACATCATTCTATAAAGAGCTTCTTGCTACTTTAGATGTTTTGGTTGTTGAATGTATGCAAATATCATCGTAGATAAATTGTACTGATAATTTGCTCACTTTAACTTAATCTAATGATCTGCCATCTGAGCCACTTTGTTTAGCAACAAAAGAACGAGACACATTTTTACGGCACCCATGTATAAAAACTATCGCACAAGGTAAATTTCATTCAGTCTCGAACAACGGGTTTTCACTTGTGTTAAACATTACAGACATTAAAATAATCTCCGGTTTTCTTAAACACCGTTTAAAAAATTGAAATCTGGATTACCATCACGCATTCATAAATGGAAAAAATTGTGATTAGCTAGTATTTTTGTCAAATTGGCTTCTAATATCCGCTTGCATTAAAATATGTTTGCTAATTTGCATGCTAGCCCGGACAAATAATTATGATCTTATTAACTCTCCTTTTTTCGGCGTTCTGTGAATATAAATTGTTTTTAAATGCAAGCGTAAATTGAATATACTAACCAAAGCCAAAGCGTAAATTGAATATGTTAACACATTGAGTTTTATTAACACACACTCGATCTTTTTTATTTTAAAATTTCGTCCAGTTTCGGTCACCATTCATATTGGTAGGCATGATATCTCTTGAAGAATGATTCGATTGGATTTTATAACTTATTGTATTAATTATATATAATAAATGTAATATTACACTAACTCCGGTAAACTCGAACCCCCGGTAACTCGAACAATTTTCCTTTCCCTTAGGGAGTTCGAGTTAGCGAGGAACTATTGTATTTTAAAAGCGCACTCGAACTTGTTGAGTGGGAGTCATAACATTTCCATGGCGGTATTTCCACTCGAATAAGAGCTTAATTTTCAGTGTTTTTCGTTAAATCTTTGTATCGATTAAGAAATAACTTTCTCTTTATCGGTGATGACAAAATTTGTATGTCACACTCAATGAGTGTGAGTGTAACACAGCCTACAGGCGAGAGTGTGGATACGGAAGAATTACTGATAATCGTTTGATATTTATCTGTTTTGAGAGCGTAATGTCCGAAATTTTTGTATTCGGTGTTTATAGACAGAAATTTGAGTTTCTGCAGAGATCGTTTATGAAAGTATGGGTTAATGTTTGTCGCAGATAAACTACCCGAGGTAGAAATATTAGCAACATCTAGTCAAGAATTGTGTGACAGGCAGGAGATGATTTTCTGCAGTTGTCAGCATTAAAATTGGATCTTGCCAGTCACGGAAAACCTTTGCACTCTAAAAAAAGATGTGTTTTCAAACACACCAAGGTGTGTTTTCAAACACATAAAGGTGTGTTGTGAAACACACTTTTTTGAAAAAAGAGTCATAGGTGGGTTGATAAACACACCTTACTGGGTCACAGAACACATCTTGGTGTGTACAGAAACACACCCGCCCGTGTCAACTGACACACCTTATGTTAACACACCTTTTTCTGGAAGAAAAGGTGTGTTCAGCAAACACACCTTTGAACACACCATGCAGAGAGCACACCTTGCTTTGACACACCTTGACAGACACACCATAGAAGTGAGCACACCATTTTCTAGAGAAAAAGGTGTGTTCAACAAACACACCTTTTTCAGAACACACCATGCAGAGAGCACACCTTGCATTGACACAACTTGACAATGACACACCATACAAGTTAACACACCATTTTCTGGAGAAAAATGTGTTCAACAAACGTTCGTGAAAAACACAACTTTTTCCAGAACACATGTAGAATGCTCACTTTCATGTCACACCTTGACAAAGACATACCTATCTGCACATATCCTATAGCACACACCATTAGGAAACACACCTTCTTGAGTGAAACAGCTTTACCTTTTTGGTTACCATACAGTGGCAATATTTCATTCACAATTAATCACAAAGTCTTCTACATTTGAACTATCTTTTTCAACTATATAAAATTTTCCATTAGATTTAATAATATGCAAAACCCCATGCCAGGGTAAGTTTTGAATTACTACAACAAGCCTTTCATTAGTTTTATGAACTTGGTAGCACATAAAATGTCTGTGGAAAGCAGATGTCTCCAAAACTCGAACAACAAAAAATTTTCTATCTTCCCAAACAACGATTTCTTCCACCACCATAAACCGGATAATCTCTCTCACCAATCTCATCCATTTCCTGCAGTCGCAGAGCACATCCTGGCTTGTAAATTATGCCATGAATCTCCACATGCCTAACATGCCTAAAAAATTAGATTACAATGCAATAGTTCATTTGATAAACATAAGATAGTATGATTCATCTCATCCCAAATTCAGTTTTTGCCTGATAAATCACAGTGATATTAAGAGATAGTTCAGTTGATAAATAGTAGCTAGATTGAATATTGTAGTAGTTAGTCCTTTATTATGTCATATAAATGATATAATTTTTTATTCATAATTACATTAAAAAACAACTTGGCAATATTAAACTGATAAATATTACCTGCTTCCTTTACATGGCTGTGCCAGTTGATCAACACTAGCAGCTTGAGCTATCATGCCAAAATATGGATGGCTGTGCAAATCAACATTGTGATCGCCTTAAACAGACATTAGGAAACACATGAAAAAATAGATTTAAATTGGAATAATAGCTGTATATGCATATTTATACATATGTAAAATTACAAATTTTTATAACTATATATGCATTATTTACCTAATCCAACAACATCACCACTATACAGGTAATTAGTCAAGGGCTGCTTGGGAGAACTCAGAAGGTTCCAGCACATGTTCCTAAATAAAAAACAATTACACCATGATTAGTATGATAAATACACAATTCTGTAAAAAATGTATAATTGAAATACACAAATCTACACATTTATTCAAAATTAAGCCTAGAGTGATAAAACACAGCTACTTTAGAGGGGTGGAATACAAGTCAATCTAATTGTGCACAATGATTTTAAAAAAATATACCTTTGATGGGAAAATGCAAGTGATTTGGGGACATTTTTAAAGTTCTTGGTAATTGAACTTTTCAGGAAACTGTGTTTAGCCTCAAATCTCATGGTCCAGATATTTCTAGGTGGCCCAAACCTACAACGCAAACATTTAATTATAATCATCAATAATTTAATAGGATGATGTTCTCTAACTCAAAAATAATTTGGAAGTAACTTTTACATCAATAATTTTTTACCTAACAATTTCATCAGGTATATGTATAAGATAATGCATTTTTGGAATTATGGATGCATTAGGGTAGAGATTTTTGAACATTTTGTGATGATCATTAATCATAACTTTCAAATAGGCAGCATCAGCCTTTGTTATTCCTGGAGAAGTACAAATTTGAACAATATTCCAAAGTTTCAGCAAACAATGCCAGTTTTCCAGTTGCTCATCCACTTTATCACCAATCATGATTGGCAAGAACCTGAATAAACACCACATTTGAGATGCTGCAACAAAAAGACTCAGGTTAAAATAGCATTACATAGTCTACATTTGGTAGTTCAAGACAATTAGGCTGCATAAAGCAAGACATATAAATTAGTTAATACTTTCCCAATGACTGCAGTGAAAGAAAGGGTTTTAAAAGTATATGTACCTGATTGTTTAAGCTTAGCTTCAGTGACACCATTGATTGTTTCCCTGTAATTGCAGTTGGCTTATTCTTTTTGTTCATGTATCCATAATCAAAGTTTTCCATCCTCCGATTTAACTCTTTGAGTGTGATACATCTGCTTTCATCAATCAGATACTTCAGCATCAACTTTGTTTCATAGGGTACCAAGCCTCCAAAATATATGCATTATATCTTCAGGATGCAAATGCAAACATCAAAATGTTGCACCTTATCCAACACACTTAATCTGTTTACCCCATAGGTTGTGGAAAGTTGTTCACGGATGTTTAATGCATTATCTTCATCTTCAATACATGCACATATTTGTCTGTGATTATCCAAATCTCTTTCTGAAAAGTCTTCAGATAAAAACTAAAACAGAAAGGTAATCCAAATGCACATTGTGTAAATTGTAAAAATGCCCTTATTGCTCAGCAAAATATCTCCCAAATTACAGTCAGGGAAAAAAGCTATTTCTTCAAATTATAGCATATTTACCTTATTGTTGGTCTCCAGTCTTGTTCCCATACAATGCCTACAAATTCGCAATGCTCCTCCAACACCTTCCTTGAAACCACTGACATAGTTGCTACCAAGTGTATCTCCAGTCCACAATAACAGATCACCTCAAACACACGGGCAACACCATTTATGGTAAAACAGTGACCATTAGCCTAAAATATAGGAAGCTATAATGTTGGACAAATTTGCATACTAGAGGAATTTTGTCTTTTTTTTTCTTATATACATACAATACTGTAATGCATAAAGTAAAAATACCTTCGCCAAACAATTGACATCCTCAATGAATGGCATCAAAAGATTATCGATCCCAAATGACTTGATGTCTTTTGTTTTAGCAATAGCTATAAGTTGTATACTGCGGATGCTTGATCTAAACATTGGCCTTATATTGCCCAGCACAAAGTAAAAGACACCTAAAAACAAATTTTATATGTGATTGGGCAGCTAACATGCTTATGAAATAAGCTGTTCATAGATTCATAGACATAATATAAAGACACACACCAATTTTATGAATCTTTGCTTTTGAACCTAAAGGATTGGCTATTTCTAGATCATCATAATAGCCCAACAGCTGCAGGGCATCACTGTGGAGGGAGAATACTGGATGACTCTTGAAAAAATCCCCATCCATTACATCTCGAAGAACACCATCACATGAAAAATGTGGATTTTCAACTTCCTTTAAAACATCTGGGTTTTGAAGAAGTGCCTAAAATATATGATCAAAAAAATGTTTGAAAAAAATATTTGCAACAAATGGATGCATCCAGTGATTTGAATCTTGAAAAGCCAAAGTAATGGCATTTAGCACCAGAATAGTGACATCAATTTTTGCTAGTCTTTCATATAAAATATATTTTACCTCCAAAGTCTTTAATAATGGAACTTGATAACCAAAAACTGTGACACGTTTAAGTATTTTTCTCCCTTGTCGAAAATCACTTCTCCACTGTTTTCCCATCTCAACTTCTATTGGTTCCTGCAAATCAGTTAAAAAAATATAAAGCAAGCTGACAAAGCTGGCAGCTGGTTCAGGTTTGGTAGGTTGGTAATTACCACCAAATTGAAATGACGCTTAAAATATGATCTTTGTTGGTATTCTGAATCAACTCCGTCGAAGACACTCTCTGCTGAAAATAACTTTTCCACATCTTGGTCAAATTGCAATTCTTGACCAGGATTACTGTTTATCTTTTCGACAAGCGATTTTTTGACTATGTCCAAATACTCAGTTAGTAGATTTTTCGCTGAATCTTTGACCAAGTCCACGGCACTCTGGGTGAGCATACCTCTTGTTTTGGAACATAAAAGGAATTTGGCAGCATGGCGTTGCATTAGACTTCGTGCTTCTCCCTCGTCAAACATCTCCTGAAAATGGTTCTCATTTTCCCCATCATTTAAGTCTTCTTCCACTGTTAAAGCCTCATGCTGTCTGTAATAATGTTTTTGGAGACTGTTTATCTTTGTAAACGACCGTGGACAGCTGTTACAAAATATCTTGAAATTCGGCTCGTTTGAGTGTATTTAACCAAGTGATAAAAAAAAGCTTACTTTGTCCGCTGCAACATACAAAATTACAGTAATCGCAGCGAAATTCAGTTGACTCGGCCATTTGTATATACTAAAAACACATTATTTCGCCTTGTGCCTTACTGCTTTTAATACTTAGTTTATTTCCCAGTATGTTTTCAATCGATATTCGCCGAAAAATTGGAGCATTTGCAAAAGGCCTGGGAGCCATTCTATTCTCTCACGGTAATGTTACCACTGGGAATACCATATATGTATTTAAAGTAACACGTGACCGTAAGTCTGCCAATAGGAATTCCCTATGGTGTGATGCGGGAAATTTAGACCTGCTTGTAAAAATTTGACTGATATCTTGCCCGTTCGACGTTCCAAGAAGATTACTCACAACATTTACTCCGTTTTTTAAATATAATTTCATCACAAGTATGGCTGTGTGTTTAGTAGCAATGTTCACTGAAGACCTTATTGCTCACTTGTTATCAAAAGGCATCTCAAGAGAAATTTGCGATCAACTGAAAGGTATGCCTCATGTGGTTGAACCATTGCCAAAATGCTAAAGCGTTTAAGTTTTTATGTGTGCGTTAAGCTTTCTATTTTATTATACAGTTTAATGAATACGATCTACTAACAGTTTATGATTATAATGTTTCAGAAAATGCTATTGATGGGGGTACATTGAACTTTTTGATGCAAGACATCGACGAATTCAAAGCGGTCTTACCTAAATCTGGCTATCGAATTCAACTAAAACAAAAATTGGCCTTTACTTTATCTGCGACAACAGAAAACGTAAGTTTACTTTGTTTAAACAGGATATAAATATAAACTTTGATTTAACAAGAATATTAATTTGTCGTTAATTCCTTTAGTTTGCCTAACAGGCTTTTATATAACAGTACTAATTGAAAATTATAAGCCGAGAGAAGGCACTGTCACATTGGGCAATTGAAATAATCAATTGTATTCCCATCACTAATAATGACTACTTCTCAATATTTTACATGAAAGTATTTACTATTTGTCAATAATAGGAAAAAATGCCTCAGCAAATTGTGATGCCACATGATGATGAACCACACACATCAGAGCTAGAACCACCAATGCCAACTGAACCACCTTTGCCAGTGGAACCACCTTTGCCAGTGGAACCACCTTTGCCAACCATGGCATGTGAAAGCAGTGTTGAAAGTGTGAAAGCAGGTGTTCAAATGAAGAAACCACTCAAGAGTCCCAAACCTATTACTAATAGTTCAGATGCCACAGCCCTACCAAACACTCTCCCATTTCCTGAGAGTTTCTCTGTGCGAGTGCAGATGGCAATAAAAAATGGCTCTGTTGCCCCTGAGCGAACACAGCTGATTGCAGATGTAGGGACCTTTTATTATGGTTTGTCCAGCCACCCAAAGCAAGGTGACTACAAGAGGATTGCCATTTTAGTGTGCGAGAAATTCCCTGAGTTGAGAGATTCAATCAAGCAAGCTATTGGGTAAGTGTCACAAGAGGGAATATTCTGTATATGTACTTAAAATATACTTGTCATGGCAATGATCCTAATCCCAAATATCATATTTTGTCTACATATATAGGTATCAATCCAGAAACAATTGTCGCAATTCTTCAGAAACCTTCGGCGGCGGACAGTTAACAAAGCGATGCATGGACAACCCCATGGTGCAAATGAAAGTGCATCAAAGAAAATAAAACTGACTGCAGAGGATGATGAGCAAGCTCAAAAAAGAAATATGGAGCTTTTGAAAAAAGCAAAACCTGGTGCAATGGCTCCTAAGACATTTGCAAAACTCTTTGTCGACACATTTAATGAGCGGAGGAAATTTATCGAAAATCAAGCTACATCTTCTACAGAGGTCTTGGAGGAATGTCCATATCTTGGTCATCCAAATGTTGTAAGTATCTTCACATGATGTCTTGTGCAGTCATGTACACATGTAGTTTTTAGGGTATAATATTAAAACAATGGGTAACCCTATTGAAGCAATGGCAACTTGTTTCAAACACCTGCAAAATGTCTTTGATTATCTTAATTAGGTAAGAAAAGAAGTTAGCAGAATCATTGGGCAGAAAAATTGGGAAAAAGAGGCTGAAAAGAAGTTGGAGACTGCATTGAAAGCTGTCATACAAATTAAGGATAAGGAATGTGAAATGAGAAGTGAACAGGTTGTGGAGGCTGTGGAGTAAATTGAGAGAAAGACAAAAAGGAACAAAGGAACAACAACAAGTGTTCTAAAATTCAAAGATGTATGTATTTGTCAATTGCACCTTGCACACTCTGTAGATAGCTGTGGCAAATCAATGATCTTAATCTTTAGGTTTACCTCAATGCTGGAATTGTAATTAACTGTTTTAATTTTTTTACAGCCTGCATCCACCATGAGACCAGAAACCTTGTTCAAAGACAAGAATGTCGAGTTTCGCTTGGTTGTGATTGGGTCTCCTGAGGAGGTCAACCAAGTTTTTGTGGCAGGTGAAGACCAGTCATTTATTGAGAGTGAAGGTATACTCCAAGGTTTGATCGACCTGCTTTGTTGTTACTATGCATATCACGTCTCCTACCCTGAAAGTATGGAAGGATGCTTGCTTTTCCTACAAGACATTCTTTTGCCAACAAATGATGGCAACTACAGAGGAACAAAATTTTCCTCATTTATGGCAAAGGTGCACCAAGGAATTAAGGACAATTCTGATTAGAACAATTTATACATGCCTGGACATTCATGCTTATATTATATGCATGCCATATATTTAAGGCAAATTATTATTAAGGCAAATTTTCCATATGACTTTTAAATATTTGTTGTGAATATATGTAAGTGTTTTCTTGTATGATAATGTTTTCTATTTTTAATACATATTTCACTGTTTATGGACAAACTGTTCTGACTATTCATTCTATTTAGATAATTGCCCTAGGCAATTTGATCTTGTGTGTTGGGTAGCACACCTTAGTGTGTTCCAAAACACACCTTGCACCACCTAGCAGTATGTGTCTTGGAACACACCAAAGTTGTGTAGGAAAACACACCAAAGTTGTGTAGGAAAACACACAACAGTGTGTTCAAAACACACCTTAGTGTGTACTAAAGCACACCTTTTGCAAAACACACCTTATGTGTGTCAAATTCTGGACAAGCAAGAAAACACCTTAAGGTGTGTTTGGGACACACCTGCGTGTGTAAGAAAACACACCTTAACCTGTGTTATATTCTGGACAAAAAAGGTGTGTTATTTGAACACACCTTTTTTAGAGTGTGAATACGTACAATCCAGAAAGTCAGTTTATACAAGACCTTCGAGAGAAAGGTGAGTGTACTGTCTGACGCTTTTGAAATACTATCTTTATTTGTGTTTAGAATCTTAACAATCACGACTGCCGTAGAACATTCTAAATCTACTGAATTAATTGAAACGTATAGATTGTGATGTAACCCAACCACTGTCAGTTGTTAACCATATATAGAATGCATATCTCTTGCTGTTCTGATCCACCTAAAATAGCGTGATATAACTATGACGCCTGTCTATGGAGTTATATTTCATTCAAACCCGTTCACAATTTGTAAGTTACGACCTTTTCCAAAACAGTAAATTGATTGCGGCTGGAAAACCTTTCATCAACATTTCTCATCAACACATAACAAACCCTAAATTCACTTCATAAAATTCTGAATGATTTTGTCAGGATTTAAATTTAAACGTTTTCCTTTTTTTCAGAAGTCCCTGGTATGAAGGGAGTAGTATCGTCATCTAAAGGATTACACACCAAACTACGTCAAGCTGCTCAACGGAAAAATGGAGTAACAAAAGAACGCAAACAGTTGATTAAAATGGGAAATAAGCTGAGAGCTGAATTGTTGAAATATAAAGGTATTTGAAGGGATATTTTGGAATATCTATTAAGATGGCATAATAATATACGTTAGTCGAAATAAATTACTGTAAGAATGAATTGAATACATTTTTCTATAAATGATGCGTAGCTTCTGTTGTTCGCAAAAGACTAACTGCATGTGCAAAGAGATCCCGCGATGATTACGTCACTACCGCATGTAGGGTAGTGACACGTGACCGGGCTCCAGAACACCGCGGAATAAGTCTGGGCAAACGCCGGTCGGTTATAAGCATATGGCGAAAAACTTCAATTGGAACTGTTGAAAGAAAACATGCAAGTTAATTGATAAGATATAAGTTAAACTTGTACTTGAAAATGTACCGAAAACGGGTGGACTAAACATTCGTTTAATGCGTCCTTTGATTGAAATATGAAATAAAATTGTTTTGCAGAGCGTCTTTAAACCATTTTTGATAAATTGTTAAGAACAAAAGTTTAAACCTATATAATAGAAGTTGAGAAAAACTACAATTATTGAGAACACGAAAATTTCTTGTTTCTCCGCAGCGTGGCGGCTTTGGTATAATGAGAGATGCTGAAATAAGTAATCTCGTGGTAAAATCGATTAGTGTACCGCTGCCACCGTTTTGATTTTAGAATGTTATTCTATCGTTATATATTAGGAGGGAAAAAATCGCCTTCAATTGAGGCACGTCAATCGTCCAAAGATCCGCAGAATGTGGCGCAAACATCCCGATCCCAACTACGGGGTTTGGAACAGTTGCAATATGAACTAACAAGCAAAGAACTGCATGCAGTATGCACAGAGAACACTAGCGAGGAATAATGATCAGCATTCGCTATCTCCTCGCAAAAAAAATTCCGCGTCGGCCCAAAACTTCAAAAACACTCTTCAAACACGGAACTCGCAGAAAAAGCAGGCCTACCGGAATCGTCTACTGTTCGTGACGAAATCGTCTCGCCATGGCAACCTTCGTTCTCATCAGACGACCGCGCGTCGTTACAAGATGTCTGGAAACTACTAGACGAGGACAGTTCTGGATTAACCCATCGCGGGGACGAAGTCAGCAAGTCTCAGCTTCGGGAAAGTTTCTCAACTACGGACAGTTTCACGGTCAAAGGTCAGCCTAGTCACGTGCATCTCAAGCCAGAGTGTTCCAAGGCTGCGCTGTCTGTCAAGGCAGCTGGGAAATGGACACTCTCCCAGGTAAAAGCGAAGATAAGAAATTATAATATATAAGACGACGATGTTCGCGAGGGATTGTAGATATTTTATTTACCTATAATATTTGTTTTTAACAAGACCGGTCATTCATGGCAGTAGGAGGCTGTGTTGGGAATTTGTGTGTTTAACCCTCACTTCCAATCTGTCCTTAATTATCCAATTTTCTTACTTACTATTGATCCCCATGCAGTAATTATACCCATGACGTTTGCATGCATTATAAAATCATTCTATTTCCGCATAAAACCAACACCCCCCCCCCTATTATAATATAAAAAGTATTAGAATATAAAAGTTGTGCCTCGTTCAGTTCACCGTCCCATGCAATAATGTTAACTTGATTGAATTCTAATTTTAACGCAACTGTTCGAAATATATGTTAAAATCTAAAGCACTAATTCTATACTGTCTTTCTTGTGCGACCAGATCTAATGATCTTGATCCCCTTACAAAAACTAACTATAGTTTCGACAAAATAACTATAGTTTTTTGCCTTAAAACTTTAGTTCTTCTGAACAACTATAGTTTCAGACAAAACACTATAGTTATTCGTGACACTATAGTTTCCAAATACAGAAACTACAGTTTTTCGAAACTATAGTTTTGTTCCAAACTATACTTTAACTATAGTTGTTTTAAAAACTATAGTTTTCAACAAATAGTAGCCGCTGGAAACTATAGTTATAATTGAAACTAAATTTGAACTATAGTTTTTTTAAAGACCTATAGTTTACAACAAATGGTTACTAATAAAACTATAGTTATTCTAGAGAAACTATAGCTGCACTTTTTTATTTGCATAATCTGTAGTCAAGAAAAAGTGATTTGCGATACATATATATATATATATATATATATATATATTATATATAATATATATATATATATATATATATATAATATTATATATTATTATATATATTATAATATTTAATATATATATATATATATATATATATATATATTAATATATATATATATATATATATTATATATATATATATATATATTATATATATAGATTTCGATTACCAATATTTAGCATACATTAACATTTACATACCTTTGTACTCAACACATAAGCGTGTTTAACCTTTGACCATCTTCAAGACTCTCAGAATCTTTATCTTTTAACAGTTTCAGTAATGTAGTTCAAGGAAAACGGCAGATCGAGGAAAATCACAAAAAGAAATGTTGGGATTAGTTGGGATATTTTGGGATATTTGGGAAACTATTGGCGTCGAGACGAGACGTGAATATCCGATTATTCCTAGTATGGCGCTCGCATTTTAATTTGCCCACATGTGACCTGAGTATGACATGCCAACTCTCTTGGCGGCCATTTCGAATTTACCGACAACAGTGTTTAAAGAGACCTCGGCAATTAAACGACTTAATGGTTACGCTTTGGTTAATTTCTTCGAAGAGAATGCTTGGGATGTCATTCATATTCCGATATTGTTTTTACTCAGGACATAAACAAAATGAAATCGAGAACGGGCAAAAATGTTGGTTCTTGGAAAGATACAAAATCCAAGAAAGCAACCAAAAGAAAATTCCCTGCTGAGATTGTAAAGATATCAGGTTTGAAATTAAGTTTATATATTCCTTGAGTCATTATTGTTCGCCTTTGGCGTTTATGTCTTGAAATAAATATAATTTATTTAGGGTAAGATGGGTTTTATAGTTAATATATTCAAGTCCTAATCATATAAATGACCAAATGATTCAGATCAGGCTGTTTGAAATATAATCAGTTTGAAGATAATTCATATCATGGTGATTGAAGTCTAATCATCTAAATGATCCCAAATAATTCAGAGCAGAGTGTGTGAAGTCTCAAGTAATTTAATATTGTCTATAACAGCATATATTACTTCCCACTTTTAGATACGACATATTCAGAAATCAGCAGACCAAGTCCATCCCTGCCATAATCTTTGTTCATATTTGTTATATTTAAATAAACAATAGATGACAAAGACTGGTTATCAAATACATGAGAGAAGATGATTCTCCGGTTAAAACAGGCAAAGGTTTCCGTGTTATAAATATAGCGACAGTGACACAGAAAGACAGGTAAAAGTCTTAAAGTTACAGAGATAATTTTCCATTCCAATTTTCTTAACAAGGTGTTTTTTGAGCACATATACAAAAATAATAGTAATGAGCAAGTTATGTGCATAGTTTATATTCCCCACATTTATTTCTGATCCTGTTTTTCTTCAGCAAGAACCAGCTGCAACGAAGAGGCAGAAAGCAGCATCTAAAAATGCTGAGCAATCAAAGCGATCAACCAATCTGGCTAACATGATAAAGGAAAGATACAGGAAGGTTTGTATAGTTACAGGTCAAAAGGAAGCCTCTGTCAGAAAGAGTAAAATCACCTTGTATATAAGACGATGTGAAAGCTAAATGTTAACATTATTTAAGCTTTTAGCATTGAAATAGCAGTAATATAAAAGCTTCCTTATACTACCTGAGATGGTAGATAGACACATGAGTTAGTAAGAACACATTACATTCTTGCAGTTGTTGATAATTAGGAAAGATGCCAATGGACGACTTGCGCTTTAGACTAATTTTTGATAGAAGTGACTAGAAGAAAATAAATCACCACCGCTGGAAAGATCTTACTTAAATTAGTGCAGATGCAAAGTTTGGCTGCAAAATTTGTAAAATACGGAAAGTATAGCCATGCGAAGTTGGCATATTTTGTATACTTTTGTATTACGTGCGGAAATGTGTAACTAAATTAGTTACAAACTTCCAGCCATAATACAAAAGTATACAAAAATCGTCAACTTCGCATGGCTGTATTTTCCGTATTTTACAACAACTTCCAGCCAAACTTGGCAGTTTTACTAATTTTAGTAAGCTCTTTCAGAAAATGTCCTTTTTATCGTCAATGTAAGAAATTAGTCTAAAGCGCAAGTCGTCCATTGGTGCACAGGCAGCACACATATGTATTCATTGCTTATAATTTTAATATTTAGGAAAGTCTTAAATTATTTGATGACAACAGTGTATGTGATGAAGATTGCAAACATTTAAGAGAAAATAGAACGCTTCTGGCAACAATCAAACACCTAAAAAGTGAAAATGAAAGACTTCGGGAACAAATCGAAAGTAGTGATGGTAAGCTTGTTCAAAAAGATTTGTCCAACTTTTAATCAAAATGTGCCACAAGACGGGTGATCGGCGGACAATCCATGATCCTGGTGTATTAAGCTAGAACAAGCCATTTATTTTGCCTTTTCCTCACCATTCATTAGCCACTCACAAAAAGGCAATGATTTTACTGTTATTCTGATTTCATGTTTCCTAGTCTTTGGCTAATGCATTTTAATTTTCTTATAGATTTAAAAGTTTCTTTGAGAAAACTGAAGAAGTATGTTGCATCCTTGGAAGGCTTTTCAAACCAAGCACCAAAATTTGGTTCACAACAGAGCGTACGAGCATACGAGCCTTCCGCAAGATTGTCTCCTTTGACAACCATGGATCATGGAAGATCGTCTCCTATCTCATGTGTGTCAAGCTCATCAACCAGATCTTCTCCCACATCGATGAGTGGTTTTTCAGAATTTGCTACAGAGGAACCAACCGTAATTGCAATTAGCGAAGACAACTTGTTGAAAGACAAAAGTAAGGAAATACAAGGCTGTGATGATGACAACTAGGTCCAGGAGTTAGAGAAGGACACATATGCTTCCTCAAAAATTTGTGGAAGTGACGAACAGTCTGGATTGGCTGATGTTATGGCAGATAAGGTAGGTCTTTCAAATGCACTGTAAATTGGAGAATTTTAAAATTTTACATTCTGATTTCAATACACGCAAAGTGGTTTAGGTAGAGTGTGTCTTGAAAATGGAATTATTAGTACCGTGGTTTAAAACATTTTGTTCATTGGATGACTTTACATTGTTTTTTTCACCTTTTTTACTAATTTATTGTATTGATTTATTTTCTACCAGGTTGTTCTGGGACCAGGCTTGTCGATTTCAAAGAATGTGCTTCAACGAATAAAGACGAAGAAAGTAGGATCATTTGTGGCAAACCTGATGGGAGCAACACTCACAAGAGAGTACATGGCGACACACAGTTACAAAGGGCAGAAAGGGAAGAATGGGCAAACAAAGCCAAAGCTTGATACAAAACTACACAGCTTCCCTAATAAGTAAGTTTTTGGTTTTGAGTGTATACGTAATCTTTGTATTGCAAAGACGGACTATTTCTGTTTACTAATCAGCATTTGAAGGAAAAACGCAGTGTTGGCATATTTACTGATTTAGTAATTTAGCCCTTCTTTATGTTTTGTGTAGAATACGCCAAGAGTGTAAGATACACCGAACTTCAGCGGCCTGTTATTGACGAGGACATTGTCAAAGCTATCAAGTTTAAACTGAACAATGAGGAACAGGCGTTCAAAAAGCAACAAGAATAACAGTATTATGGCACAGGAATTTTTTGAACATATACTAAGAAAGGGTATCATTGTAGGAAAGTTTTTTAGCCCTTTAAATTAATAGTAAATGCCTAAATTTCAAAACAGTAGTTCTTTTTTATATTCTGCATTTATTATATACTAATAATAAATCCCCTGGTACTAAAGACCGAAGTAAAGTAAAACGTAATTCCTTTTTTCGTTAAAATATCGTTTGATTATTGGCAGCATGACTAGAACTGTGTTAGCTTCGTGAAATTAAAGCTGCTTTGTGCAGCAGTTATTATTTGGGTAAACGTCAAAATTATTTTTTTTTTAAGAATACCTTTTGCTTCCATGTAAAACTATAGTTTCGAACAAACCTATAGTTTTTAACTATAGTTTTCACTAAAACAACTATAGTTTCAGACACTGAAGTTTTATTCCAAAATACTACAG